GGGGCGGTGGCGTAGTTGGGAGCGCGTCAGACTGAAGTTGTAACTTCATTCACAATAATCTGAAGGTCACCGGTTCGATCCCGGTTCACCCCATCCTTTAATCCTTGGAGTTTTCTTTTTTTTCTCTTCCCCATCCCTTCAATCATATATATATATATATTTATTTATATTTTTGGCCCGCGAGATATATGTACTGCTGTTGAAAGTGACGCACGGCTGCGGTGTCTGTCCATGACGTGTGTGTGCGGCAGTATGCACGACAGGATGTGCATATGATAGATGTCCTATAAATTTCAGGATATCGACCAAGATGGTCAGTACTGGCGCCCTCCCTCCCCCCCTAGAACTTTGCTATGCCGTGAAACTAGATCGAACCCATGAGAAAGAGGAAATGATATAAGTTGTATATAGAAAAAAAAAAGAAAAAAAGAAAAACCATGAGAAGAAACGCCCAGTGATGCCTTTTTTGTCATGATTCTCCGATAATGTGTGTGTCATCAGTTTTGTCCATCCATCTATATCATGAGAAGAGAATAAAAGAGAAGAGAAGAAGAGAGAAAAAAAGAAAAAGAAAACCTTGACCCATCAAATCGTCCAACCAGTAGAGAAGATTGCAAAAGAAGGGAAGAATATCCGGAGCGGCCCCTCTACAAAGAAAAAAAAGAAAAAAGAAAGGAGACGGAAGAAGAGAGTATCGAGGCTCCAGTCTTGGAAAAAAAAAAAAAGCGTTGGCGAGAGTCCGGAAATCATCTCAGCTGAATAGAAGGAAAGAATCTCGGACCGGAAAAACCCTTGGCAACGACAGCTTGGATGTCGATATTCGACCGGGGATCGTGATGCGAATTCCACATCTTGAGGAGGATGAAGCGGCCCGTGACGGGCGGGTCAAAACGGATCGTGCAGACGCTCTTGCGCTTCTCGATGAGGAACCGGGCATGCGGGGAGAGGAGCTGGCTGCCCCCCACGGCCCGGATGGCCTCCTGCGTAGCCGTCGCGTGGGCCTCCCATGCGTCGTTGAGAGAGATGCTACCCGCACCGGGGGTAGCCGAAGAATAAGCAGAGGGTCGGCCCCCCCCCAACATCTGGTTGTAGTGGTCTGCATGATGGCTGCCGTCCGTGTTGTACCGGTAGCCGTCGTCGCCGTCGCCGTCGCCGTCGCCGTCGCCGTCATCGTCGTCTTCCGAGTCCATATTCTCAAAGGGTAGGGGGCCGATGCGGTTGGGCGCCGGTCGACGCAGGGGGCGGGCGTCTGCTTCGGCGGAAGTCGCCTGCTCGTCGTCGCCGCAGTCGGTCGACACGTCCACGTTGGGTCGGCTGAGTGAGAACTCGGGTGGCATCTGCGCGGCGCGGTACTCTTCGTTCTCGTCGTCGTCGCCGCGGTACAGACCTGCCCGCCGGGCGCGCGAGCTGCTCACGATGCCGCCGCCGGTGCCGTCCCGCCGGAGGGAGACGGAGGGCCGGGAGGACGAGTCCTCGGTGTCGTCGTCGTCGTCGTCGGGTGACCAGGCCGGTTCCCTGCGTGAGGGAGCCGGGGCGTACTGGATGTGGTACTGGGCTGTGCGGCTCAGGAGGCTGTCGTGGTCCATTGCCACGAAGACGAAGCCTTCTCGGACTCTGCGTGGTAGGGGTGGTTAGTTGCTGTTCGTCGTAGCCTGACTGGTACACCCGCTTCCCGTTCCGGGGTTGGGGTTTGGTCCGAGAACCTGCCCCGCCCTGAAACAGAAGGGGAGAAAAAAGTCGAAGAAAAAAAATTGACAAGGACAAAAGACAACGACGACATACGGGTGAGAATAGTTCATCGAGGTGGGACCCTTGATGACGAGCTCCTGTAGTGTGAAGGCTGTAGACCCCTGGTGGCGCAGGACAATGTTGCATCGGTTCCCCTTTGTGCAGTAGACTGAGCTGTCGTCCCTGAGCACGTTCTCGGCGGCGTACGATGTCTCGTTGGAGAACATGCCGCCGTCGCAGCTGACCATCTCCATGCGCAGGCGTCCCGGTTCGACCTGGCCGTACTTGCCGTACCGGAAGGGCGGAGCTCTGGGGATGGGCCGTTGCGACCCATCGATCTTGCGTCTCTTGCTGCGACGGTTACCGCCCCCCAGGTCGGGCTGGTAGCGGTGGTGCGGCGTGGACGGAGGGAGAGCGCTGCTGCTGCTGTCGTTGCCGGACAGGCCAGGCGCGGCAGTGATGGCGGGAGGGGAGATGTGCCCGCCCGGGCTGGTCATGTCGATGAGGGCCCTGAGATGGGAGTTGACGTGGGCTAAGGACGAGGTGCGGTTGAAGCTCAGACCGCCGCCGCCGCCGCCGCCGCTGCCGCCGCTGCCGCCGCTGCCATCGGCGGCACGACGCGGGGGGGCGGGGTCGAGGTTTGGGTAGTCCCTGGAGTCAGTCAGGGCCCTGCTGAACTCGTTGTAGGCCAGATCGTCGGCGTCGTCGAGGCTGCGTATGCGCTCTGCTCGTCGGGAGGCGGCGTAGGTCCAGAAGCGAGCCTGGGTCTGGAGCCGGGCCAGGGACGATGCCGACGATGGCGTCAGGGGCGACGGAGACGCGCTGTCCCGTTCACGCTGGGAGGCTAGACCCCGCAGGGGAGGAAGCGTGGGCGGGGGGAGGTCGTCTTGCGGGTCACGGGAGCGCTGCGGGCGGGGATGGGAGCTGCCCGATCTCGAGGACATGCTGGTTGGCTCGGTGGACTGTGGGAGAGAGGGCGCGGTGATGTCTGGGAATCAGGTCGCAGAGTGTCCGCAGTAAGGAGGGGGAGGAGATAGAGACGAGGCCTTCCTGAGGCACAGATCCACCCGGGGGTCGTCAAATAGGCGGCGGATGACGTGAGGCGGTAGCGTGGGGTTCGCGTGTGATGGTGGCGGAGGCTGCGGAAAAAGAAAGGCGAGGAGAGGTAATCCGTAGTAGGTGAGTTTCTTGTTCTTGTTCTTCTTGTTCTTGTTCTTCTTGTTCTTGTTCTTCTCGTTCTTGTTCTTCTTGTTCTTCTTCTCTCTCTCTCTCTCTCTCGTTCTCTCGTTTTCTCGTTCTCTCTCTCTCTCTCTCTCTCTCTATCTCTCTCTCTCTCTCTCTTATCTCTCTTCTTCTCGTTTCAGACGAAATATAGGGTGACAAGGCCAAGGCGGACTTTTGGGAGGGAGAGTAGGGGAGGGAGAGAAGGGGAGGGAGAGAAGGGGAGGATGTGCCCCGCGGTCGTTATCAGGTCGAAGATGGTGTGTGTGCGTGGCGATGGATGATTGAGAGGAGAGGGTCGTGCGACAGCGGAGAGAGTGGTGGAGACAAAGAGGTAAGACTACTACTAGTAGAGCCCCGGTTATGAGTTTTTTTTCTTCTTCTCTTTTTCTCTCTCTTCTTCTTCTTTTTTCGGTCGTGATATAGACCAGGACGTTTCAATGAGCGTCACGGGCCAGACTGGGAAAGAAGAGAAGACTTGAAGACATGGAAAAGAGCTGTAGATGTAGTGGCCGTACGAATAGTCATCAGTGTGGGTGCAGCAAGTCGAGGTTGGTGCTGATCATACGAGTACAGACAGGTACGTTGTGGGTGATCAGTGATGACTGCTGCGAAGAATGTGTCACTGGCGCTCTCTCTCCAGCACTCTCTCTCCCTGGGCGGTGAAGCAAGAGCGCAGAGAGAGAGGGAGGAAGGGAGAGGGAGGAAGAGAGAGAGAGAGAGAGAGAGAGAGAGGCAGAGCCATATTTATCAGACTCGCGGCTCTCGTATCTTTTTCCACCTCATTTTTTATCTAATCATTCTTGACGTGTTCCATTTGTGCATTCGTGTGTGAACAACCATGGCCTCGTTGTCGACAGCCTAGACGAGTCCCTCCGCATTCTGCATATGATTGACTGCACTTTCTCCCAACAGCTGCATGTCCAGCAGAGGGAATGGCCAGCTGTCCCGCGCTGCCCGATGCCAGCCACTTGTGAGTGTTGGGTATGGCCTTGATAGGTGGTGGTGCATGTGGTCTTGGTATTGTCAGTGTTGGGTATTATCAGTATTGGTAGCAGCAAGATCGCTCACGCTGTGGATTATGTGTGAATCAGACTAGAATGTATCGTGACTCTGTGCGAGTGAGTGGCTGGCCGTGACTGACACGCAGACGAGTATCATAATATGCGACGTCACCCAGTAGAGCGTGACCCCTCCTCCATCTGGGGTACCTCTTGTATAGGTACAGATAAGGGGGGATTCATCTATCCGATGCTGCTATACGAGTACGTACGAGTGAGTAATCTGTACGGATAGCCACCGTGGATACAGATTACAGGTGATGCCGCCACTATACGAGCCCTGTACGAGCACTGATCGGCACTGATCGGTGCTGTGGTGCTGCTCCGTACCCGGGCCTTGCAATCTGCACTTGGAACCTGCGATTGCCATGCTCAGCCTGTAAGGTGACCTGACTTACGGGGGACTTACGGGGGACTTACAGGCCACACCACATACAGGCAAGTACAGATCACTGTAATCTGTAGCTGTATCCGTACAGTGAGTGGTTGGGGTGATACCGAGTATCTACCAGTCCCCTTCCCCCCTCCCCCAACCCTCGGCTTGCTCTTCATCTAAAACGGTTTAGCGCATCCTCGCTCAAACAGCTCTGACCTTGTACCTCTCTCGAGTCTCGACAGACAGTCAGTCTACTTACTTCAGCCTCGTCTCATCCTCTTTTTCTTTCCTTCTTCTCGCCCCATCCAACCTCGTCCCCTCTACCGGTGCATCGCAGAATCACTTGTCCCTCACGAGTCGACATTGACCGGTACATGTGCGCATACAGCCCTTCTTCTTTCCACGCAGCCACACGCCTCACCTGCATGACCTGCGGCCCGCCGCTCCTGGTCTTTTCAAGAGAGTGAGCTCGTGAGAGAGAGTGTGTGTGTGAGCTCGTGAGGGAGAGAGAGAGCCCGTACGCCATCTCACTCACGCTGCAGAAACCGACAGACGGTTTCCAATCCTCACCACATCCTCTCACCTTCTGGCCCCTTCCATCTGCATCACGCTCGCAGCCAATCATGGATCCTCAGCAGAATCAACACTTCCACGTCAACGGAAACGTTCTCGACAGTGTTGTACCCGATACTGCGCAGCAGCTCAACGGTCAGATCCCTCAGGTCGCCAACGGCAACGGCATCCTCGACCCCGTGATGCAACCAGGCCAGCCCTTTATCCAGGACCCAGCGACCGGAGCCGGCATGCTTCCCGTCCCAGGGGCTGGATTCTTCATGCCTCTCATGATGGCCAACGGAGCACAGCAGCAGCAGCAGGAGGGAGCAGCCAACGGTGGTGGCATCAGTGCTGGTAAATCTTTTCCCGAGAACGGCCCCGAACTGTGGATGGAGCGGAAGAAGACGGAATCGGGAGAAGAAGAAGAAGGAGAAGGATAAAGTGGAAGAAGGAGAGAAGAGATTCGTGAGACTAACTCGACTCCCAGACGACCTCGCTCTGTACGACCGTCAGATCCGCCTATGGGGAGTAGCAGCGCAGGCCAAGATCCAGAGCGCCAACATCCTGCTCATCACCATCAAGGCGCTGGCGAGCGAGGTGGCCAAGAATCTCGTCCTGGCGGGAGTGGGGTCCATCACGATCCTGGACGACTCGGCCGTGACCGAGGCCGATGTGGGCGCGCAGTTCTTCCTGTCCGAGGCAGACGGCAACCTGGTGGGCCAGAACCGGGCGCAGGCGGCCAGCCGCGCCATGCAGGAGCTCAACCCGCGGGTGCGCGTGCACGTGGACGCCGGAGGCATCAAGTCCAAGGGGCCCAGCTACTTCTCCGGCTTCGACGTGGTCATCGCCACCGACCTGGACCCGGACTCGTTCAACCTCATCAACACGGCCACGCGGCTCAACGGGAAGCCATTCTACGCCGCCAGCAGCCACGGCCTGTACGGCTTCATCTTCAGCGACCTCATCGAGCACGAGTTCGTCATCGAGCGCGACGTCGGCAACGTGCCCACCCAGGTGGGTAAGCGGGAGTCCCGCACGCGCACCGTGATCGACGTCAAGACGTCCACGTCCACGTCCACGTCCACGTCCGGCCGCGACGGCCACAAGTTCGGAAAGACCCCGACCGAGACGGTGACCAAGCGCGAGCTCTACTCGACCTGGTTCCTGGCCAGCGACGTGGCCGTCCTGCCGGAGGAGTACACGCGGTCCCGGCGCCGGCTCCGCGCCGTGTCCCCGGCCCTCTCCTGCCTCCGCGCCCTCTGGGAGTTCATGCAGCTCGAGGGCGGGAGCCGCGTGCCGTCGAACCGAGACGACCTCAAGAAGTTCACCCAGCTCGCCACCCAGAAGCACAAGGCCCTCAGCCTGCCCCCCGAGACGCTCACCCCCGAATTCCTCCGCAGCTTCCTCCAGAACCTCGGCAGCGAGCTGGCCCCCGTCACCGCCATACTGGGCGGCCAGCTGGCGCAGGACGTCATCAACGTCCTCGGCCAGAAGGAGCAGCCTATCCAGAACATGGTCATCTTTGACGGGAATTCCATGGAGGCTCTGGTCTACCCCCTTCACCCGGAAGGCGTCCTGGGCGCCGGCCTGTTGACGATGGACAGCAGCGTCTCGGGTGCCGATGTTGCCGGTGTTGTCGGTGGTCAGGGTCTATCGTTTGATCAGATGATGCCTCCTCCTGTATCCGAGGTGTGATGGTGCTGGTTCTGGCTGGCGTGTGTATGATGGATAGAGTCACGGTTCAATGTTACAAAGTTTTGCTGCTGCTAACTATTGTGGACGACTCTCTGATGGAGTGTAATTGATGACTTGATGATTCTCTGATCGAAAGATTGCTTGATGACCCTGACCGATGAAAAAAAAAAATTAATTCTTTATGTTTATTTGTACAAAAATGCAAGAAAAACAAACAGAGATGAAATGAAAAATTGAAGAAAAAAATAAATAAATCACTTCCTACTAGGTCTCAACCTTCTCTTTTCCTTTTCCGGAACAGTAAAAACCATCCACTCAGTCGATCTAGACCTATCAACAGGATCATATAATCCCGGCATGCTGCTCCCCGATCCCAATCCCGACCCCGACCCCGACCCCGACCCCGACCCTGACCCTGGCCCTGTCCCCGCCCCGGTCGACGATCCCTTTGGGAAGATAGCTCCTCTTCTCAGATCCCCTTGCCCAGGTACGTGCATGATCAATCCTGACGGAGCGCAATGACTCGGACTCATCTTCTAGCGTGAATCCTCCCCATCATTCGCACCAGCACCAGCACCAGCACCGGGAGCGGAAGCGGAAGCAGATGCCGAGGCGGAGAAGTTGATGATGTCCCCTCGCATATTGGGCTCCTGCTTATCAGCCCTGTTGTTCCTCCTGCGATGCTGATTCACGTTCCAACCCCGTATCTGCGTGGGACCCGAGTTGGGCAGGGCAGCCGCGCCGGACCCGCCCGAGCTGTCCTTGTGGTCGTACGGTATCGTCTTGAGTTCCGGACGCTGGTTCCACGCCCTGTGGGCCGGTACGGGGGCGGGCTGGAGCTTGCGGTACTTGGAGTCTGCCGCCGCCGCCGCCGCCGCCGCCGCCGCCGTCGTAGTGGTAGAACCGGGTGGTCCTGATGGTCCGCCGCCTATGGGGGGCGACGGTGCGGTCGGGAGGGAAGGGGTGGAGCGGTGATGGTGATGATGATGGTGGTGGTGGTGATGAGGGTGAGGGTGAGGGTGAGGGTGAGGGTGAGGGTGAGGTTGGGGGTGAGGGTGAGGGTGGAAGGAGGATGATGACGTCGCCGTCGCCGTCGTCGCCGTCGTATCGGCGGTCTGCATCGAGCCGAATCCTGCTGGGGAGGGCGCGCGGTGAGGATCGTAACCCCCCGGAGGGGAGGCCGAGTATCCCATCGACGTTCGGGACGGAAATCCACCGGGTGGCGGGGCATACGCCTCCGGAGTAGGGTAGCTGCCGCTGCTGGCCGATCGGCCGGGGTAGAAGGGCATGGGGGCGGCCGTCTGCTGAGGCTGAGCTGCCGGCGGCGCCTGCTCTTCTGGGCCGGATTGGAGTCGGCCGCGTGACGGTCGCAGAGGGGGGAGCGGCTCGGCGCTCGTGTGCTGCGAGAAGGACACGCGCGATGACGGCGGGAGAGAGTACTGCTGCTGGGGCCAGTACGAGTGCGGTGATGGGTATGATGGAGGGGGGGCCTCAGCCGCGTAGGCGCTCACGCGTCGGGGCTCGTGGCCGTCGTACGCTCTCTGGTCCGGCGGCGGGGGGTAGCCGGTGGGAGGGGGAGGAGCGCCGTGGTAGGGAGGCTGCTGCTGCTGCTGCTGCTGCTGCTGCTCGTGAGCGGCCATCCCGTAGGGGGACGGCTGGTGTGCGTGGTCGTGCATGCTGCTGCCGGGGTAGACGGATGCTCCCGCCGCTGCCGCCTCGCCGGGGTGGCGGGGGTAAGGGGAGGGCTCGACCGTGGGTTCGCGACGCTGCTGCTGCTGCTGGGGTGGGTGCCGCGCACCGGACCGGTATCCCGTCGGTGCGGGCGTCCCCGACATGTAGCTGCCCTCGCGCTCGCCGGACATGGGCAGCTGGGCGGCAGCCTCGGGGTAGCCAGAGGTGGCGCGCGGCCTGGACGAGGAGGCCCAGTCGGGTGGCGGAGCCGAGGTGCACAGGTCGGCCAGGATGTCGAGGCTGCTGCTGCCGGCCACGTCCTGGGCGGCGGGCGGAGGGGGTGCGGGCTTGGCTTCGGTCATGAACATGTCGCGCACGGCGTCGTACTTTGTAGCTTTGGGAGCCGTGGCCGCTGCGGCGGCTGCGGCGGCTGCGGCGGCGGCGGCGGCGGTGCGCGCTGCCTCCTCCTGGGCGGCCACCTGGGCAGCGTCCTGGGCAGCGTCCTGGGCGTCGACGTAGGCGGCGGCGTCGGTGATGAAGGAGAGATCCGGGCGGGCGTCTTCCCCTCCTTCTCCTGTCGCCACCTCGGCCGTCTCGACCTTGACCTGGGCATCTCGGCCTTCTTGTCCGACTTGTCCTGCCCCTTCCTGAGCCTCGTCCTGAGCCTCGTCCTGAGCCTCGTCCTGAACCTCGTCCCGAGCCTCCTCCCGGCCCCCGTCCCGGCCCTCGTCGGAAGGTTTGGCAGGGATGGGTCGCGACTTGAGTTCCTGGACGGCGGTTCCGAGCGAGCGCTTCTTCAGGTCCCTGCTGGAGGGGAGGTAGTCGTCGACGGCGATGTCCGCGCGGTCCACGTTCTCGAGCTTGCAGAAGCGGCGCAGCAGGGCACCCATCTTGTGGCGCCAGGGCCCCTCCATGAGGCTGCGGTGGTTGGTGACCTTTTGGAAGCCGCGCGAGGCGTGGGAGATGCGGCCGGACGGGTTGGCGATGAAGACCACGGGGCGCCCGGGCATGACGTAGGGCCGTCCGGGCTGGCTCTCGTTGGCGCTGTCGGGGAGGAAGATGCCGTAGCGCGGGTGGACGCGGTGGCGGGCGACGAGGGTCTGGTCAAAGTCGCGGGGGGTCGTGTGCGAGTAGTCGAAGCCGTTGCACCAGTGGTCAAAGTGCATGCCGTTGCTGTTGGGGGTGTCGAGGTACTTGCCGCGCTTGGCGTGGGTGTGACCCTTTGTCGAGTCGTTGACGCTGTCGCGGAAGCCGATCTCGTCGTCGTCAAAGGTGACGACGGGCGGGGCCAGGAGGCGGCTGGCCAGGCCCTTGTCGCGCAGGTAGGGCCTCTGGTTGTAGACGCGCACGCCGTACTCGTCGGGCTCGCCAATGTTCTTGGGCAGGGGAGGACTCCTCTCGCGGGCGGCCAGCTTCTCGGGCATCTTGGTCTGGACGCCGGCGTAGAAGCTTCCGGGCTCGGGCGTGGCCGAGGGGGAGTCGTCGTCGGCGGCCGCCCTCTCGGGCGCCATGTCGGCCTCGGCGGCCGAGGCCAGCAGACCCTTGGCCGGGGCGGGCGGCGGCGGGAGCAGCTGGGAGTCGTCGGTGTTGCGCGTGGACCTCTTGGGGGTGGGCTGACCGTCGGGGTCACCCGTGGGCTTACGCTTGACACCACCGCGGCCTCTGCCCCGGCCTCTGGCGGCGGCGGCGGCGGCGGCGGCGGCGGCGGCGTTGGCAGTGGTGGTGGTGGCGTTGGTGGTGGCGGTGGCGGTAGCCGTCGCCGTCGAGGACGAGGCGGCAGCGGCGGCTTGTGATGCGGCTGATGCGGCGGCGGCGGCATCGCGTGCCTTCTGCCACATCTCCGTGCCCTCTACGCGCGAAGGGTAGGGGACGAGGTGACCGTCCAGGAAGGATTCGTAGGGGCCAAACTCATTGTCGAGGTGGTCATCGGTGATGACGCGGAACTCGTACCGGTCATCACGGATCTGGGTCTGTGTGAGCATCTCGAGCATTCCTCCCGTCGCCGTCGTGCGCGCAGCTGACGCCCGAGGAGGCCGACGGGGACGATGGGGTGAGACAGGTGGGACAGCAGGAGAGAGGATGGAGACGTACATCGACGGGAAGCCCCTTGGCGTGGAGGGAGGCGAGGATTCTCAGACGATTCTCCTGACCTTCGAAGAATTGCTCGAACAGGTCGAGGACGCCATTCTAGAGTGTGCGGCGGTGAGCAGGGAGCAAGGTGGGAGGGGTTGATATAGGGAAGGCGGGACAAGGGGGACGTACGTGAAACTCTCTGTTGGCGACGTATCGATCGGCGTCGAAGAGGCTCTCGGCGAGGGCAATGTCCATGTCGCGACGCTTGCGGTGCTCGGCCAGCTTGTTGGCGAGGTTCCTCCGCAGCTGCGACATGACGGGGACGTGCTGCTGGGCATCCTTGTAACGGTCGGGGTTGCGGATGAGCTCGTCGACGCTGCGCTCGGCCAGCTCCTGGAGGGCGGGCTTGAGGGCATGGGCGACGGCCTGGTAGGTGGCCTTGAGCTCGCGCTGGCGCTCATATGCGGCCTGGACGCGCGAGTCGGCAAAGGTCTTTGCACGGCCCCGACGCGTGCCCCCTCGACCTCCTCCGGCTCCGGATGCGGCTCCCCTGGAGGAGGACTTGGCGTTGACGGCCGAGGTCGACGAGGAGCTGGCACCTCCCCTGCCGCCGCCTCTTCCTCTCCCACGTCCGCGGCCGAAGGCGGCCCCTCCTCGACTGCTGGCACGACCGAGGCCTCCTCTGGTGGAGGAAGACGAGGAAGATGCTACATGATCGCGAGCGGAGGACTCGATTTCAGCAGCCATGGTTTGTTCTGGGGGAGGTGAGAGACCACCATATGGGTTTGTCTCGGGTGGAGGGTGAGAATGAGAATGAGAGAGGGAGGGAGAGGGAGAGGGAGAGGGAGAGGGAGNGAGGGAGAGGGAGAGAGGGATGTAGTAGTAGTAGTAGTAGTAGTAGTAGTAGTAGTAGTAGTAGTAGTAGTAGTAGTAGTAGTACTAGTAGCAGTAGCAGTGGTGGTAGTGGTAGTTAGCAGTGAGTAGTGGTGGTGATAGTAGCAGTGATAGTAGCAGCAGTACGTGTAAACATCGGAGGTCTCTCTTTTCCCTCTCTCTCAAGGAGGTCACCAACTCCCTAGTACGAGTGCAGGTGGTGGTGTCAGGCTGTCAAGAATCGTGGTCTGTCCGTCTGTCTGCCTGTCCGTCTGACCAGACGACGATGACGCTAGACCGAGAGAAGAATCTGTTGGACCCGTACACGGACAGTGATGAAGGTTGGTTGGTGGTTGATTGAAGTGTGCGTGGGTTGAAGGCGTGTGTGTGTGTGCTTGTGTGCGTGTATGAGTGAGAGGGAGAGAAGAGAGAGTTGCTGAAGCCGAAAGGATAATACTCGGCAAGAAAGGGACAAGGTGAGAGAGAGAGAGAGAGAGAGTTGGGACAAGAAGAGAGAGAAAGGCGGTAGGTGGAAGAGAACAAGACAATTAGAGAATCGTCAGAGAGGGAGAGAGAAAGAGAGAGAGGGTGTGTGTGTGTGATATGAATGGGTAGGAGAGGACAAGACAGGACAGACAGAGAAGAGGTTCCGTCCTTGTCTGTGAATGGGATACGCGACGATTTGTGTTGGTAAAAGGCGTCTCGTCGGAGCGTAAGGAGTCTTTCTTTTTTTCTTTTTCTTTTTTTCCTTTTCTTTTTTTTTCCCTTCTCTTTTCTCTCTTCCCCTTCCGTTTGTCTCTGTCATTCCTCTCCCCCGGCTTAAACGGTGAGTAGGTACATGCTCTGATACTGTGCTGGTACTACTCCGTACAGTACCTACGTATATGGTATATGGGTGTATGGGGTAGCTAGTATACGGAGTAGTACGAGTACATGCGATCATGGGTAGATACCGTAATAGACGGGAAAACGTGCATGTACTCACGTGATTGGCCCGTATATCCTCGCCTGTACAGTATCTGCGTACAGTATCTCTACATTACATGCACAGTATCATATATGTACAGTTTTACAGATTACTCGTACGGATTACATGCAAGTATATCATATGCGATTATATCATATGCGATTATACATACGATACCATGAGTAAATATATATATGCATAGCATACAGACTACGAGCATCACGTATATACAATATTACAAGGCATCATCATCATCAGTATAATTCATCGGATGAATCTGTCAGCATGTCGACTCTGCTGACGGCCGCCTTCTGCCACCGTATCGTGCTCGGAAGACGGAGGAGGAGGGATGACGCGACGTTGCAGGGGTCGTCCGAGTATCAGCAACTCTCTGCCTAGGCCTCATCACTTGACGACGCATTTTCCCTTCATCGCATATACAAGGAACAGACGAGAGCAGACATTCTCCCTCACAGCATCGTCAACATCATCAACCTCATCTCTTCTTTTCTCATCGTCCGAGTCCTGCCCGAGCCTTTTTATGACTTTTTTTTTCTTCTTTTCATCTCGTTATTTCGGTCAAGTCCAATATTAATTACCCACTTCCTCTTCCGGGCAAGAGGATGGAATCTATTCCGCCCCACAAGTCACTGTACCCTCGATACCGGTACCTGTATCTATAGCTAAACTCGTACCTGTACAGGCTACTGGTACCTGTAATGGTTGGTACTCGTACAACTAATCTGTACCTGGAAAGAAAAAAAAAAAGAAAAAAAAAAAAAAAACGGCAACCTCCCATCATCACCCGCCACTACCATCACCACCACCACCACCACCACCACCACCNAAAAAAGAAAAAAAAAAAAAAAACGGCAACCTCCCATCATCACCCGCCACTACCATCACCACCACCACCACCACCACCACCACCACCGAAGGAAAGAGGAAGAAGAAAAAAAATCCATCGCGATAATGACCAAGAAGCGTAGACTCGACACCAAACTCCGCGGTCCAGGGCCGAAACTCAGGAACCAGTCTCGTCACCAAGCACCTCAGAGAAAGCCCCAGTCCCAATCCCAATCCCCATCCCAGCCGCAACCTCGAAAGACCCAAAGACACCAGCAGCACCAGCAACAGCATCAGAATCAGAAACCCATCATCCCATTCGACCCCACCGACCGCATACTCCTCATAGGCGAGGGGGACCTCAGCTTCGCCGCCTCGCTAGTCACCCACCACGGCTGTCGGAACGTCGTGGCTACCGTGCTGGAGAAGTCGTACGAGGACTTGATAGCCAAGTATCCCCATGCCGTCGCCAATATCGAGACGATAAATAACCCTCATCCTCCTCCTCCTCCTCCTCCTCCTCCTCATACCACCAATTCTAAGCTCGACCGGAAAGAAGGGGAAGAAGACGAAAAAGACAGAGACGGAGAAGAAGAGGAAGAAGAAGAAGAAGAAGAAGAACAAGATCAACTTCGTCGACGAGTCATAGAAGCCCGTCGACAGCAACAGAATCAGAATCAGAAACGAGCATCCCCCAAGAAGAACCAAAAGGCACCGCCACCCTCCTCCTCCGTGGGCAGCAAGGTCGTCTACGGCATAGACGCCACCCGCACCCTGCCCGCGTCCGTGTCCCGCCCTCGACCGACGAGGATCATCTTCAACTTCCCCCACGTCGGCGGCAAGTCCACCGACGTCAACCGCCAGGTCCGCCACAACCAGTCCCTCCTCGTCAGCTTCTTCGACAGGGCCGTCGTGCCCAACCTCGCGCCCGGCGGCACCGTCGTCGTCACCCTGTTCGAGGCCGAGCCCTACACCCTCTGGAACGTGAGGGACCTGGCCCGGCACTCCGGGCTCGCCGTCGACAGGACCTTCAGGTTCGACTGGTCCGCCTACCCGGGCTATCACCATGCCAGGACCCTCGGCGTCGTCAGGTCCAGGCATGGCCCTGCCGGCACCGGTGCTGGGTGGAAGGGAGAGGACAGACCTTGCAGGACCTACATCTTTGCCCGGAAGGGCGAGGAACCCCTGCTGCCTTCCCAGCTCTCCGCCGCCGCCGCCGCCGCCGCCGCCGCCGCCGCCAGGAAGAAGAGGCGTCGTGCCGATTCCGACGTTGAGGAGGACTCGGATATGGACAATGATAGTGATGACGAATACTAATCTGGATATGCAGACGTACACGTTACCCACACTCATCCCCAGAGGGAGGGGAGGGGGGAGGACACGGCAAGGCGTCGGGAATACCAAAGAAAAAGAAGAAACAAGTCATCTTTCTTCTCTTCTCTTCTCCTCTTGTCTATTTCTGTCTCCCGTGAATGCATCCCATCCTGAACATCGTAAGATACATGCTTCTTGTCTCTTGATCTCTACTCGGCCCTCCTCTGCGTCCCCATCCCGTCTTGTAGATATACACATCTCCCTTGACTTATACATCTTCTCTCCTTAGTAAACAGTATGCATCGATGAGGATAGATGGAGCATGTATATATGTATATAAAAACAAAGCAGCCCATCCTACATCTCCCAGGAATCAAGAGTATAAAAAAAAGTATATGAAAAAATGACGATTTAAGATGACGAAGATGGGGGTAGAGAAGAAGGACAATGATGAGTAAAATACCAGAAGAGAGAAGGAGAAGAAGAGAGCAGAGAGAGGACAGAAAGAGAAGAAAGAAAAAAGAAAGCTATTACTATTACAGTGCCACTTAATGGCTCATCACAGCCTCAACTCCAACCTTGTTGGCCTCTTCTAGTCTCGTAGCCTCCTCATTCTCCCTCATCAACTCTTCCTCTTGCTCTCTCAGCTCTCCGCCTCCCTTCTCCTCTGGCGGCGGTGGCGGCGGTGGTATCGATGCCGCCGCCGCCGCCGCCGCCGCCGCCGCTGCCGTCTCTTGCTCCTCTTCTCTGGCCCTCTTCACATCCCTCACATCCCCCCCATTGGCCTTGGTGTTATCCTGACCGTCGTGAGGTGTAGTGTTGGTCGTGGTGGTACATGATTCGACAGCGCCATCTTCGACTTCCCTCTTCCTTTTACGGTCCATGTCGGATGGTGTCGACCCTCCCCCTGGTGTAGCGGATGACTCCGGCACTGCAGCAGCACCCTTGTTGCTGCTGCTGCTGCTGCTCCTCGGGTGTCCGCCCTGCGGAACGGCTCCCGCAGACTTCTTCCCTTGATGCTCGTTGAACTTGACGACAGCCTTGTCCAGGAAGTCCCTGGCGTACTTCTTGATCTTGGCCGCTTGTTTCTCCGAGAGGGGCGTGTTGGGGTCTTCGACTCGGTTGTTCTTGTAGTCCGAGGCCACGAGCTTCTTTGCCATGTCCTTTCCCAGGCGTTTAAGTTCGTCCTTTGGGAGCTTGTTATGGAACTTGTCCAGTACGGGTTTGATTGCAGGGAATATCTATCATTTCAACGCACTTTCGTCAGCGCTTCATCTCTCGAGCAGAGCCTCTCCCACACCGGCCATGTTGCCACGTCCACGTATGGTATGCGTGCGCGTACATGAAGAGATATAAGGGGAGGGGGAGGGTTGGAATAAGGTGGCTCACCGTATTCTCGTAAATTTTCATCTGCTTCTCAACAGGCATCGATCTCCACCTGTCCTGCCTGGACTCCTTGACCTCCCTTGGAGACGCACGGCTGGCAGCGGCGTCCTCTGTAGGCGGTGTCTGCCCCGCAGCCTTGGGCGTATTGCTCCCCTCCTGAGTGACCCTCTTGATAATGTTCTTGATCATGATCTCCTCCTGCATAGCCTTGTTGGCCGCCGGCTCTGCAGCCGGCGCGAATGCGCCGGCAGAAGGGTTCGTGGGTCTCGACCAGGTTGTGTTGTTGTGCCTGTCATAAAAGTACGTCTTGCCCATTGCGTCTTTCGCTGCCGACCACCCCGCTGGTAGGAGGTTACCCTGGTGCTGATGATGCTGCTGTTGTTGGTGCTGTGCAGGTCGCTGGTGTCTTGGACGCGACGCGAAGCCGTGGTGGTTGTTGGGGTGGCCAGGGGCATTGCCGATCCTCTGCGGTTGACTTCCCCTGGGGCCCCTGGGCGTATCGATCACCGCTGTCGGGGTGGCCGGCGCCGGCTCCTCTGCCCTGGCAACGGCACCCCGTCGGTCGTCAAACGCATTCACCGACGGCACGGACGCGTTGGCCGGGTCGACCTGGCGCCGGCGGATGCGGTACGCCACTTCGAGCTTGCTCCAGTCGCTCAGGAGCTTCTGTGCGGTAGACGAGACTTTTTCATGGGCCGACTGGGTGAGGGGCTCGATGGCGGCGTCGATCTTGGAGTCCTGGATCTTGTTGCGCGTGAGGCGGGGGAACTTGTCCAGGATGGAGAGGACCTGCATAACCACGTTCTCGTCCTCGTGAAACGTGTTGAGCACCGTCTTGAGGATCTGGTAGGCGTGCATGCGCATAACGCAGTGAATCACGCGCTCCTCGTCGCACCTCTGGATGCGCTCCAGCAGCTTGACGGCGATCCACTTCTCCTTGCACTGCATGAGGGTGGCCATGACCTTGCGGGCATCCTCCTCGTCCAGGCTGCGCGGCTGGATACTGCCCACGTACTCCTCGTCATCCTCGTCGGCGCGCTTCTTCCGCGGCTTCTTGGCCACCGAGGTATCCCACCCGTCGCCGGCGCCGATGCCCAGTGCCTCGACCGTGCCAAGCGGCAGCTTGGTCGCGCGCTCCGTCTGCGTCTTGCCGCCGATGAAGCCGATGCAGTTGGGCTCGCCGCAGTAGCACGGCTGGGGCTTGGCGCCGTACCGGTCCACGTTGTAGTTGAAGACGAGCTCCTCGCCGGGCCGGATGCTCCGCAGCGCAAATATGCCCATGCGCAGCTTCTCGCCCACCACCCACTTGTCCACGTAGCAGTTGGGGTTACACGAGTGGTTGCAGAACCGGCCCAGGTTTCCTTTCTTGGTGGCGTCGACAAATTCGCTCTTGCTGAGGGACATGAAGTAAAAGTGCTTGACACCCTCGTCGTCGTACTGCAGCATCCGTCGTCGAAATGTTGGCTCGTTGATCACCTCGCCAATGTACTCGAAGATGAAGTCGTTGGGCCTGAGCTGCGCGTCGCTGCGCAGGCCGAATCCCTTCTTCTCCGTCTTGATGACCGAGACGCGGGCGTACTCTTTGCCCTGGAATCGCTGGTTGTGGCAGCCGTTACTGCAGTTGCCCGTTGAGCTGCATTCCATCTTGGTGGCTCTGTTGATGCAGTCCGAATCTTCGCCGCATGCGATATTCTCTCCGTCCCCTGTGAGCAGCTGTTAGCACACCAAGTCTTTCCTGGGCTGCATCGTGCTGCTGTGATGATCCGTAGGAGGGTCGGAAGAAGGAGGGGTGGCCTGGTTTGCTTACGCCATTCCTCCCTGCAGTCACAGTCAAACGCATCGTTATCCGTCGACCCCAGGTTCTTGGACCCGTATATACAATCGGTAATGACCTGAAATGTTTTGCACGAGTCCTCTGTGGAATCGGGCAGGTCGTCGTAAAGCGTCGGTGGTTGTTGCTGTTCGGTTTTTTGCGACGATTTGCTGCGCGACGACCGTGGCGGTTTCTGCGAGTTTGGCGTATCCGTGCCCGTGCCCGTGTCTTCGCTACGCGGTGGCTGCGGCGACATTGTGGTATCCTCGTCCCTGAGTCCTTCTGCCTTGGCAGTCGTACCGCTGCTGTTGGCGGGCTGCTGCTGCTGCCGTGGCTGCTGCTGCCGGTGATCCTCGAATTTTATCCCTCCCACCTTGATGGCTGCATGCTCATCATCCTCCATCAGAACACCTGGGCTGTGTGTGTTCCACGGCGGGCGGGCGGGGGGGGGGCTGGTGATCGAATCGAGTTTGGGAGGAGCTAGGCAACTGTTCAATGTTGTTGCTGGGTGCGTCTGACGCACTGACCGCCAGGTGTACGTACGCTTTCGAATGGAAGAAAAACTTGGGGCACAGGAGCACGCGCTACAAAGCGAAGACGATCGTGGTGGGAGCTAAGGCCAAGGCGCCGAGAGAGACAGGGCTTCGGTTTGCAAGAGACGGGAAAGGCCAAAGGACTTCGTCGTTGATGTTGTCGATGTAGACGAGAAAAAAAAAGCTAGATGGTGCGGACAAGTATGTGACTTGACTAGTATTGCGGAGCGCACAGGATGGATGATAGCAAAAAGAGAAAAGAAGGAAAAAAGGTTGAGGGAGGCCGAGTTGGGAAAATTGCAGCAGCAAAAGGAAGTCGTAGAGCGACAAGAAGCGCGCGCCGGCAAGTCCAACGCAACGATTTGGACCAAGGTACGTACCTCCAGCACTCATCAGTCGGACTTGGCACTCTCTAGACTCTCTTCTCTCGCCCTCTCTAGACTATCTTCTCTCTCCCTCTCTCTCTCTCCCTCTCTCTCTCCCTCTCTCTCCCTCCCTCTCTTCTCTCTCTCTTCCTCTCTGCGGCTGTCTGCAGAGACTCGCCAACAAGCCTCCACCCCCCCCCCCCCCCAGAAGCTCCATTCTGCGTTTGTGTGTGCGCGCATCTACCGGATTTTCATAGACCCGACCATCCGCCCTCCACCATCCGCCCGCATCTGCCATCTGCCATCGTGCTGTGTTTCTTCGCACGGTCCATCTTTTCCGCCACGAATAGTCACATACTTGGACATTTCACGTATTGTCGCGGGATCGAGCACCATCAGGCCATGCAAAGTATGCGACCGTCCCTGTGTTTGCATCCATCCGATACCCTCTTTTCCTAACCCTCGTCGACTTGGTGCAGCGCTAGATGGGATAGCAAACGTGCAGTTTACCCCACCAAGGGAGTGCCTGCTCACTCCACACCAGCAGGATACCCAGCGTTGAGTATGAGATGGACTCTACAGCGGTCCGCTGATCAAGAAGGCTCGTGGCCTCCGATGCCAAGTCTTGTGCGCCCCTGTCCATAGTGACGGCCATCTCTCATAGTGCACCCTGGCCGCCAACCCGGTGACAGACACCAAGACCCGATGAGCGCGTGCCCTGATGGGACCGTGGGAGTACCGGTGTCGAGCGTCACGATCCGAGAAACCTCCGATTGGGAACACTCTGTCAGGACATTGTATGAAATGCCGAATTGTTCGATGCTCAAGGGAGAACTTGTCAGGCACCGCCAAGGCACGGCAGTTGGCTTCCTTGTCTCACCTGGCTCTGACTGCCCATTCAGCACGGGCGGGTACACACACCTCGTCCCATCAGCCAGTCCAAGCAGGGGCAATGTGCAACGAACGAGAATGTATCTGTTATACTGTACGAGCATACGGCCCGTGGCAGGCTTGAGAGTTGCTTCGTTGCATCTCACGTATTACCCCAAGGACGGAGGCACATGTAAAGGACCATTTTGTTGGGCCTTGGCCCGGGGAAGCTGGGGAGGAGCCAGGTTCAATGCCTGCACATTGCCTCTTGCTGCAGGAACACGACACGATACCGTATCTGCATCGAGCTTGGACCCTAACTGCCCTCGAAGCTGGCCGAATTCCAGAAATCCCCGTAGTGATGAACGCTCGATGTGCTGTACATGAGTGGGGCCTAAATGGCTGTAGTGCCAACTCACTATGCATGTCGTTGAGCCCCTCGGTACCGTCGTTCCATATATAAAGACACGTTGACGCCAGCCGAGGAGACGGCGTGGCTTGAAGTTTTCTCTTCCCCATTCGTCTGGCTGATCCGAGGTTTTTGTCAAAAGACATAAGCTGTCGCATCCTGTCCTCAGCCCTACAGCCGACATGGTTCGAGCCTACCACTCCCTCAGCTTCTCATCATCCATTTAAGCGTCGAACCCCGCCACAATATGTGACGAACCCGTGGATCGTGTGCTTCCGCAGCGGCCGTCTTCGAGGTCTGATTGGCGAACAGAGTCCCTCGGCCACGGGCCTCGCCATCCACTCAGAACATCGACTTTCACCGAAGCAAGCAATTTCTGGCTGCACCAATCACATGATGGGGCGCGGCACCTGCAAGATCTCTCCCACCCCGCGCGCAGCGAAAAGAGGCTGGGTCCATTCATTCTGGCGCGTGTGGTGTTTGTGTGGTATTTGTGTGGTGTGTGTGTGTGTGTGTGTGTGTGTATGCAATTGCGAGAACTGTGGCTCGGGGTTGCCAAGCGGGAACCTAGGAGTGGCTGTCAGTTGAAATGCGGATACGGGGAGGAAGGCGAAGACATCAAGACATCAGGCATGCTGCGGGCAAGTTTCCACTCTGGTGGGGGAGCCAGATGAGATACCGTATCGCGTCCCAGGCTGCTCGAGCCAGCTGAAGATGGTGGATGGGAAAAGGCGTCAGGCGTCCGAGCCACTGCAAGTCGGATTGGCTGCCGTGTCACCACCCCAATAAAGACGCAGCCAACCGGCGGGACATCTGCACGTCAATGAACCAGGGCCCAGACTCTGAATGCCGGCTGAGAAGGAACACGGGCTGCCATTTTCCTGGGTAGAAGTCATGAACTCGTGAATTCATGGACAGAAAGACAGGGAGACAATATGGTCACGGTATATTGGGAGTGACGAAGAAAGAAATGGAAAAAAAAGAGATCCCTCCGTCTGACCCTGGTCACTTTGACCAAGCATGAGGAATTGCGACCTTGTGCGGCGGCAACAAGACAAGACTGGGCGCGCGGGAGCAAACGGGAGTGCCTGTGACTGTCCCAGTGAGGTTGTTTCAGTCAGATTATCGGCTGCCTGCTGATCGACCAGGCGCATTTACTGGCTGGCTGGCTGGTTCTCCCTCTGCCCCCCCTGGTCTTCCCAAGACCCCCTGCCCTCTACCCCCCGGTTCCCGTATGGCCCGACCATCGACGACTAGGCGAACCGGACTTGCAAAGATACAGGTGGTAGGCAGCTGGCCGATGCTCCACCATCTTGAGCACTCGCGCCCCCCCCCCCCCCCCCCCCCCCCCCCCCGCGCGCTTGATCCATGTCTTACACGAGGCCAGGTCAACACGACAGAGTCACGAGCAAGATCGGACAGGGTCAAAACGGAAAAATGAAAAATGGAAAAAAAACTGGCGAAGATTTCTATACGGAGAAAAAAGCATTCGTTACAGAAAGGAAAAGCGAGAAGAATCCGCCGCTGACGATGAGAAACCCAGCCATGAGAGAAACAGAGAGGAGAGAGCAGTACGTACCACCCAGCTCTGGTCATGCGCGCGGGTCGCGTCTGCGTTAAGGTGGTAGCACAGGCGGCAAGAGCCATGGGCAGCATCCGCAGCCGGCACCTGCCCTCTGACGGATGTTGATGTTTTTCTTTCTCCCACCTGGCAGGTGTGGAAGGGAAGGCGCAGTGTGTCTGGGCCCGTCCTCCCCGCCTTTACTACGGAGTATTACTTGCTAGCACCGCTGCTTCTACTATCACCTGCTGTCAGTAGCAGTCGTAGGTGTCATAGTAAGTGCTATGGTATTGACCCAGTTGCTCCTTCCCCCGATACATGCCAATACCGGTCGCTCTTTCCTGCTGCCGCTCCTTCCCTCCTTCCCTCCTTCCCTCCTCCCATCCCCCCCACTCATGCTAGCACGGGTATGCACGTTGGTGTAATACTCCGTCTGTATCTCGCTGATCTCCCTGCTGCTCTCGGCACAAGCACCATCAGAGCCGCCACAGAGCCGCCACCTGAGCTGCCCATATGAGCCTGCTATCACTTCTTCCCGTCCCTACGACACCTCACATGATATTATCCGTGGCCAAGACCTTCAAGTGGCCGCTGCTATTCCAAAAAACAAAAGACTTCTGCACATACTGACATGGCCATCCGTCACTTCTCTTCCCGGTTCTGCCCTCTCTCTCATTCAGTCTGACCCCCTGACCAGCCTGCCTGTTCTGGGTAATAGTATTTACCTGGGGACACTCCGTCGGCACAGCCTTGGGTCTTTTTTTGTTTCTCCTGTTTGCCCTTCTCTCCGAGAGGGGTCCTTCTCTCATTCAACATATTGCATAACACGTTGTGCTTCCAAGGACATCCCACTTTCCATTAATACCCCTCCGCGCTTTGCGCGTCGGAAACAAACACGGCGAGCCGACACGGCTGCCCCGCCAGAAACCCTTGCTTCTGGACCCCCCCCCCAGTTGTTCCGCTAATACAAGTACCATCACACCTTTGGGAGCGCCTTGTTGGCACGGCACTGTAGAGTGAGTGTGTGGCCGAGAGAAGTGGTTTGACGGAGAAGACCGACAATCAAACTGAGGGAATACGCACTACATACTACATCCTCAACCATCTTCTCTGGCTTCACCTCTTGAGGGAGGTCCTGTGTCTCAACAGATAGATAGACGGACTACCACTTCGCTGCGAGCACGCCCTGCCAACCTGCTTACCCTCCCCTGCAACCCTGATCTGGCGTCGATTTTGCCAAGCGCCACTGTCTTCCTGGTGACTCGTCGGGAAAGCTCACGCAAGGCTGCCGGTCGCCCCCACCTACAGCACGGCCTCACTCGGATCTCCCGTCATCCGACACAGCTGCGCCAACCGTTTTCGCAGCCTGCTCTTGACCGAACACCTGTCGTACAACACCAAAAAGATACAACTCGGATTTTTGCATTTCATCATCTCATCAGCAGGTCCGATTTTCTGGCGTCAAGTCTCCTGCGCGTGTCTTTGGACTTCTTTCCCCTCCAGCCATACTCGAGTTGCCTTGTCAGTTCCCGTCTAGGCGCACCGGACGCCGCTCGCAAAGTACAGCCACCAACTTTGCGCTCTTGCAGCCTTCGAGCCGCGAACCGCTCTGCCTGCGCGTCCCGGTCGGATTATAAGTTGTGCTAGCAGCCGGACCGTGCCGCGCTTGTTGACCCTGGACGGTCGTGTCGTGATCATCACCAATGCCTCGGAGCAAGACTGATAGGACCGAATCCCAGTCGCCGACAGACTGTTTACCGCACTGATGGGGAGGACCGACGACATAATGGACTATTCATTTGCAGAGCACGAGAAGGTATGTCATAAACCCCAGCAAGCTATCCCGTCTTACAAGGAAATGTCTCAGCTAACCGCGACCTTACCGCAGCGTTTCGTGCTGGCCGAAATCATCAAATCTAGCAGACTCGACGTTGAAACACTGGCCATGTTTGTTCGAGACAACCGCATCGAGCCGGACTGGTGGAACATGCAGCTACCTCCCAGTACGTCGCACGCCTCCTTCCTTCCATACCACGCCGTGCTTCCCTATGCTAACTGGTACTGCAGGGCGGAACATGAACCAATGCGTGGAGGCGGCAGACCGTATGGGTATAGCCTCGTCGTTGAAGCGCAGGTCTTCCAACGATTACACCGAGCACTCTTCCAAGCGTACCGCCACAGCAAGCCGACCCGGATATCCTCCCCCCGTACCTGTCCAACCCAACTACCCATACACCCACCAACCCCCTGCACCTCCGCATGGCGCCGTCCTCCCGCACCCAGGCATGTCGGATTACAGACAACGCCATCCGGCAATGCCGGTAGCAGACAGTAAACCTGACGCCCCCGTCACCAGGAAGAGGGGCCGTCCATCGCGAGCGGACAAGGCGAAGAGGGATCTCCAGCCCATCTTACCCCGACCCCTCGCCCCGCAGGTCACCCGTCCTCCTCGATTCTCGCCATCGTCGCATATATCAGATGTACCTCCTTCCTTCAGCAACGGCCTCGCGCCCCTGGCTCCCAAGCGGAACACACTCCCGGCCCTGCTCAGCCCGGTTGTGACGGCCGCGAGACCCATCACCCCACCGGAAGCCTACGTCTCAGCAAAGGGGACGCTGAGTAGTCCGCGGCCTCCCAAGTCTGGTACCTTGTCACCGCTGCGTGGGGATGGGCCTCGTCCACGTTCAGCACATGAGAATGGAACTGCAAAGCAATCAGGGCATCCAGGGTCGCCTCCGCGGAAACGACTGCTGGTGGAGTAGTCCGATGCTGCTACTTCTACCCCCCTTTTCCTTTCTTCTCGTTCAGGCATTTCTTTCTTTTCTACGGATGAGGTCCCTTTCTTTCTTGTCTCTTGACCAGTATTCACCATTTTCTTTCCTTATACCACTCATAGCATGTTTGATCTCTTTACTCATTTATATTCCGTTTTATACTTTTCCTTGTTATTATTCTTATCTGTTGAGATATCCCCTCTTCTCTCATCGTCTTTCAAGTTGCAGATTTCGATACGGGAAACGGGATACACGTAGTGTGCATAAGGGTGGTCTGTTTCTTTTTCCTTTTGCTAGGGGGGGGGGGGGGGGGGGGGGGGGGGGGGGGGGGGTGGGGGGGCGGGTATTTAGACGTGGATTAAAGCATATACGCATGGCCATTATTATCTTTGTAAATCGTCGAGTGTCTTCCCAAATACACACACACACACACACGCATATATATATCTATATATATATATATATATATATATGATGCATGGACTTTCTTACTTGACTTGGGGGCCTTTTCTTCTTCTTTTCTTTTCGTACATAGAACGCTAAAGCATGTTGATTTTTTTCCATGTTTCCTTCCAGAAACAGCATGATTAGGCCGAAACGCATGAATAAAGGAGACTGATTGACTGCGGAGACCAAAAGGGAAAAACAGAGCAAGAAGACGTGGCGTCAATTAGAAGGAGATGTCAACCAAGAAGAAGAAGAGAGATGTTAAAGAGACTTGGCGACCTTTTCGAGCACATCAAGCAGAATATCAGCATGTTTCTCCTGGAAGATGAGCATGGGACGAAGGCGGACAGCTTCGGCGCCACATCCTCCGATGTTGACGCCCAGCTTCTTGGCGGTGGCGACGAACTGGTCGCGCTTGGGGCTGTCAAAGGAGATGAAGGTACCCTGTCCCTTTCCGCGAAGGTTGGCGAAGTGAGCAGGGTAGCGGGCGGCAAGGACCTCGAGGCGGGAGTAGAGGTAGTCGCCGACGCGGGCGGTGTTCGCGACGAGGTCGAGCCGCTCAATCTCGGCGAGGATGGCGCGGAAGAGGAGAGCCCGGACGGGATCGCCCATCCAGGTGTTGAACTGGCGGTAGGGCTTGTTGGGCCGCAGGGCGGGGAGGCCGTAGTAGAACCCGGCGGCCTGGGCCTTCTTGGAGAAGGTGACCATGTCGGGGGGGGAGTCGAGGTCCCAGTGCTCGTGGGCCCAGAAGCGGCCGGTGGCGCCGACGCCGGTCTGCACCTCGTCCACGATGAAGAGGACGCCGTGGCGGGCGGCCAGGGCGCGCAGCTGGCGGAAGTAGGACGGACTGGCGTGGTTGTCGCCGCCCTCGCTCTGGATGGGCTCGACGATGATGGCGGCCGGGGGAAGGGGCCACGTCCGGATGAGACGGTCCACCTCGGACAGGCTGGCCTGTTCGCTCGCCTCGTTCTCGGCGGCATGCTGCTCGAGAGGATACCTGAGCTGGGGGAAGGGGGCCTGCGGCCAATTGAAGGCGGGGATGTCGACCTTGTGGATCGGCTTGGAGCGCGTCGTCGACAGGGAGCCGAACAGCCGGCCGTGGAAGCCGCCCTTGAAGGACAGGATGGACAGGTCCGGGCTGCCAGGCGCGGTGTTGTCCATGGACGAGGAGAGCTCCTGGGCAGTGAAGTCTGCGTCCTGCCCGCCGCGCTCGCGCTGCCGACGGTACATGAAGGCCGCCTTGTAGGCCGTCTCGTTGGCGTCGGACCCGGCCATGGCGGTGAAGACGTTGTCCAGCCCTCTGGGCGCCGCCTTCAAGATGCCCGACTTCAGGATGCCGGCCCACTCCTTGGACGGGAAGTTGCCCAGCGCGGGGCGGTTGATGATGGCGTCGACCATGTCCGTTGTCGCCGCCGCCTTGGCCAGCTCCGGGTTGTTATACCCGATCGGGATGGAGGCGATCTGGGCGAAGCTGGTGTGCGCGTGTGAGCAAGAGGGGCAGCGGTAGCGGGGTTCCGATTGACAGACGGAGCGTAACCGAGGAGAACAAGAAGTTCAAAGGACTTACACATCAAGAAAGACGTTACCATCCCCATCAACAAGGTAGTTACCCTTGCTGCTCTTGTAGTCGGCCAGGATGTTGAGGGCCCTGGTATCAAAGACCTGGTTGAGCTCCTTGGCGAACCTCTGACTCTCCGGACCCGGGAAGTCTGTCTTCATAGCCGGACCAGCAGGCTCACCCGCATAAAAGGGCGTGGCAGGTAACGACGACGACGAGTAAAGAGCTCTCGTGTCTGACAGCTTCACAACCCTAGGCCGGAGGATAGAAGGCCTCACGGCCATGGAAGAACGAAACATGGACATGCTGTATCTTGTTAACAGGACGAATGCCAAAAACCAGCCCGACACCCGTGTTCACATATATATATATATATGTATATATATATGTGTGTGTGTGTG